GACATTACCAATTATTACCAAGTTGTCTTCCTAGCTCTCATGTGCTGGAAGGACTTTTCCTTGCTATAGGGAAGCTGGATGTGTCAGGAAATTTTAGAAGTATTTCTACAATTTTACAAGGAAAATTTTAGAASTATTTAGGTTTGTTGAAAAGGAGAAAATCCAGTTGGTGTACTTAGGCTAGACTGGTTGTAACACAATAAATAAATTATAGTCTGTTGTTGACTGTGTTTATGACTTCTCTCTGGCCATTAAAATTGGTTAAATGAAATAATTATACTGCACAACTCTTGGGATGTCTGCGTGGCTCCTTGCTTTCTCAGGAAATTGTGCTGATACTTAGGGATGTTTCAGATACAAATCGTGTGGTCCAGCCTCCCATCAGAGCTGATTAACCAGAAGAGGACATCTGTCTCATTCAAGGGCAGGCAGGGTCTCTTCTGTTAGTACTGAACAAGGGGACCCAGAGGCTGAGGGATGTTGGCATTGAGTATCATCAGTGACCATGCCCACCTGCTGCTGCTGGCCCCAGAAATTCTCTGTTTCTTCCTCTTCTTGGTAGTTATTGCTCACCTCTTCTCYGCTTTCATGAAATTCCCTGGTAGCCTTTCAGTATATCCTTTACTTGGCTTAAGTGTCTCAGAATGGTTTTCTATTACTTGTACTCCAAGGTACATTTTTTTTAAGTGTCCATTGAACTTTCAAAATTCTGATATTCTGTGACTTAATGAAGTCATTAACCTGCAGTGTCAGAAAATAGGCAGCTATGGCACTGGTAAGTGACTGCAGTGTTGGCAGTCCTTGCAATGATGAAACAGGCTTTTAATTAGGCWAACTTGCACTTGTTGCACATGGGGAACATTTTTGTTTTGTTTTGGTACCAGGGATTGAACTCAGGGACACTCTACCACTAAACCACATCCTAGCCTTATTTTACATTTTTATTCAGAGACTGTTCCACTGAGTAGGTTATTGCATTGCTTTTGCTGAGTCTGGTTTTGAACTTGTGATCCTCCTGCCTCAGCCTCCAGAGCTGCTGGGATTACAGGTGTGCGCCACTGCATCTGATATTTTATTTTTTAATTTAAAAATTTTTTATATTTTTGGTACCAGGGATTAACCCCCAGGGCTGTTTACTACTGAGCCACATTCCTGACTCTTTTTATTTTTTTTTTATTTTGAGACAGGGTCTTGCCAAGTTGCTTTAGAGCTTTGCTAAATTGCTGAGGCTGGTTTCCAATTTAGGATCTTCCTATCTCAGCCTCCTGAGCCTCTGGTATTAGAAGTGTGCTCCACGGTGCCTAGATTGTTTAATTGTTTTTATTAGAGGAGTAAATGATTTTTATAGAAAAAGATTTTAGTTCCATTGTAAAAAATAAGTGTAAAAAATAAGTCATATTCCATTGTAAAAAATAAGTCATATTTGCCAAGACACAATGTCAAAGGCACTATTATTAGATACACACTGAATCTAATGAGTTGAATGCATTCTATAATAACCAATATCCAATAAGTGTTGGTTTATCACTTAAACCTCATGAGACAGTATTTCACTGTACTGACTAAATGCAGTGGATATTTTGAGAGAAACTGGTGCTCTCTAGTTAATTATCCTTGACAATCCTGAATATTATAAAGTTTGAACTCAAAGTACACATATTTTCCTTATATACCATACAATATAATTGGATACAGTTTAGGGATCATACAYACAGTGTAGTTATCAAGTGCCTATCAAAATATCTTTAGAATGAAAATGCCCAACCAGAATACCAAAGTTTAGAAGTGCAATTGATCRTTTTAATATGACCCTTATTAATCATGGATTCTTCATGTCTTTTAAAAAGTTATTGTTGTAGATTTCCTAAAATGAAAGGCATGCCACTCAGTGGATGGGAAGCATTATTGCAGGAAAGAAATGGCCAAGATTACATTTATGATACTGAAGTTAGGACTTTGTCATTTGAGCCAGGGACATGGATGAGCAAACTAAAGAAGGGATATGAGARTTGCTCTAGAATTAACCTGATGATTAATATTAGTGGCATGACCACAAAGTTTGTATTAATAGAGGCACACACTGCTGAAGGAAGCATTTATTCATTTATAATGTAGTTCTGAGCCAGGGATGATTTTGTGCCCTTCCCCCTGCCCACTCTGGGGACATTTGGCAATGTCTAGAGATATTTTTGGCTGTCACAACTGGTGTGTGTGTGTAYGTGTGCATGTCCACACTACTGGCATTTAGTGCTAAGGATTCTGCTAAATATCCTATAATGCATAGGATGGCCCCCTACAACAAAGAATCCTTCAGCCCAAAACGTCAACAGTGAAGCCTCTGAGAAACCTAGCTTATAAAAATTAGTTTTACATGTTTTTGAACTCAAAAGTAGTTCAAATAGATCTTGTCAGAATTCTTTAACAGATATTAATACAATTAGACCAGTTTTGTTTCCTAATGAATAAATTATACTTTATAATTTGGATTCATTTTATCAGCAGTAAGTATTCAATTTTGTAAACTAATTTCAGAATTCAGGAAAGTTTAAATTTTCACATGTAATTTCCTCACATCTTGCCTTTCCTCATTGATTCAAAGTTCTCCCTCCTTCTATTCCCCATTTTTTCCTGCTCTGMCCCATTTCATTAGACTAAATGCACTGACCAAAAGCAAATATGATAAGCAAATTTAAAATATGGATAGAATCTGTCTTTTTGTGAATCACTATTTCCTTTTCTTTATAGCTTTTCTAAAAATAAGCTTTAGGCAGAAGTACCCAAGCTTATTTCTACAGTATTGAAATGATCAAATTACTTGTAGACTCTGATATGAYTAATTCCTTTCTGTTGGAATTGATTTGTTTTAAGGTGACTAAAATGCTTGATTTACTGTCTTAAAAATAATCTTGGCCAGGAGCCCTAGTGCATACTTGTAATCCTAGCTGGAGGCTGAGGAAGGAGAACAGCAAGTCCAAGGCCAGCCTGGGCACTTTAATGAGATACTGTCTCAAAAAAACAAACCAAGCCAAACCAAACCAAAAAAGGGGCTGAGGATGTAAGTCAGTGAAAAACAAAAACAAACAAACAAATAAACAAAACAACTTTGGTATTTTACACTGCTGCCCTACTGGTTTTAATAACAAATTATACCCCGGAATGATACCGAACAGACACTTGTCTTAGAGATGTAAGAATATTTTATATAATTCTTTCTTATAAGTTCAAGGATGAAACATATTTTGTGAAATTTAAGACTGTTAAAGTATTTAAAAAATTAGGAAATAATATCAAGTTCTTCCCCTAAATTCACTATA